GGAGACGTAACATTAATATATATACATATGACTTTTTTACCTGTTTGTGTGATTTTCTTTGTCTTTTCTTCCAATTGACTTCTTTTTCAATTGTCTTTTTTCCGTTGTCTTTGCCCCCCAGTCTAACAGCGGTAAGTCTGCTGACTTACAACGCTAGAAACCGGGTTTCGATATCTGTGGTGGCCAGAGCACAGATGGCCAATTGTGTAGCCTTGTGCTTAGGTACAAACAACCAACCCTTGTTTTTATTACCGCCACTGTATCAAACAATTGCGTAGAAATTACCATTTTTATACGTAGAATAAATATCATTGCTTATCAGTGATGTAGTGCTAAATAAAGAAGTGCCGGAACGCGTTTAACCGTATGAAGTAGGATTCGTTTGAAACAATGGTGGTACAGCGTTCCAGCTAAAAAACTTACAGGTACGCCGAGCCCACGCATTCCCACCCCACTACACCTCTGCCGCTTATCTAATAATTGATTACAAGTCTTGTTGAAACGTGGATAATATGAATTTCATTAACCCTGCCATTTTATTGGATAGGCAAGCCAACTTATCAAAGTTTCGAGATTATAAGGTACGCACGTGACGGACAATTAATAAACTTGAGCAATCGAGCCCATGCTAAACAAGATCGGAAGTTTGGCGCTTTCGTAGAACTTTAAAAGAGTAAAAAGTATTTTTGTTCGCTGCATATGTAAAAGTGGTTGACTTTTTGATATATATTGGTCAGTTCACCACTACGGTATTAAATATTTTTGAGTCAACAATTTTATTGAGTTTGCTTTTTCTTTTGCCAACTGATATTAATTAGAACTTTAGGAAAATAGCGTGAGTAGTTTTAGTTTTTCAGAAATGCACTTCACAATGGATTATCATTTCTTTATAGAGTGTGATATCAACACAGGAGAGGACTTTGTTGAATTTTGGTTTTGTTAAATATTTACGTCTTGTTAACTTTCAGTATAGGTATTACACTTGTGGAGGAAACAAAAAATCCAGGATTAGTTTCTGGTTGAATTTCAAATCATGACAGACAACGAAGCAAGTGCACATGATGGAAAACAGAAAAAGACTGTATCGGTTTCTTTAAAACCACTATATAGTAGTGACCTATGGCAACGAAGAAGAGACACCAAATGTACTCCCGTAGAACCAGATTTTCAACAAGGAGCTGATCAGGTCTTTAAAACAGTCAGAATTTGTGAACATGTTGAGTTGATGCCAAAAGACAACTCTTATCCACCTATACCTCCTTATGGGGTATCTGGAAAATCACCTGCTTTACTTGAAACATCTGTGGAGCAAGTTTTCGGAGGGTCTTTTCAGGATAAAAGGTAGGCCTCTATAACTGCAACTTGACCTTTATGAAATCTATATTTTTAGGAAATTCCTGTGGTCAGTAAGTACAAGAAATAAACTTTCAAATGTTGCAATTATGTAAATATGCATTTTAACAATGACTTAGTCCCATAGTTCATTATAAGATGAACTAATGTAATATACCTTTGAACTAATTTCTACTTTTATTTCAAAATCACCATATGCATATTAAATTTACAAAGATTTGCATGAATATGGACTAAATAAAACACATTGAAATCCATGTACATCAAACCAAGCAAAAATTTACATTTGCTTCATTGGTTAGACATGCAGAACTTAATTGTGAATTTCACACCCGTATGCAAAAAAGTACAACTGAAAGAAACATTCAAACCAAAAATAGACATTCCTCATGGACATTGGTTAAATTGGGATTCTGAAAGAGTGGAACTCCCTCTTGTGATCCACTGTGACATTCCAATCCAAAATCCAGGAACACTAATGGCTTGAATCCTCAAGAGGTAGAACTTCATTTCAGATCATTCCACATCAATTTAATAATCAAGCAGTTAGTAGTATTAACTGTGAGCTTACCAAACATCATTTATGTTATATACTGCATACTAATTTCAAAACTAGGCATGAGTTTTACGTGCTTTATGGCTAAAATATTATTCAATTTAAACAACTCATTGGCCAGCTGACCAAAAAATTCTCTCATGACCTGCAGATCAAGTTGTTGAAGAATTTTTTACAGACATATAGGTACAAATAGGTTCTACACCTGATGTGCATAATACAAGTGATGTCATAACACCCTCATTACATCACAGTTGCCACAACACAATCATAGTTAGAATTCTTAGTTGCTTGCTTTCAGTGACATATTTAACCATCACTTCATCATTCTACAAAATTCATGACAAATTATCAAAATTCCTGTGCTGATGAGCCAAACACCCAAGTAAAACAGTTCCAAGCATTCTTCAGGACATGTATAGTTTACATATCTTAGCCATTCCAATGTAGCCACTTTTGTAAATAAATTCTATACAGACCTCGCATATTGTACTGGTTTCCTCTTTATACATGATCACATAGGAGACAGTTAAATTCACCATGAATATTTTGCAAATTGATCTTTAACACTTTTTCAAGATCTTCACACTAACAAAATTTTCAGCTAAAATAAATGTTTTCAGATTTCTGATACTCTTGCAGGGTCTTATGCAAAATAGATCAGTCATGAATAAGCATTGTGATTTTTAACATGTTGATTTTCCATTTTTTCCAACAGCTTATATTTGTCCTCTTTTCAAATTTACCTACATATACCAAACTGTGAAGTGTGACTTCGTATTAAGGAGTGAAGTATAAAATTATTTTATGAAGCAAAATGACAGTGTTGAGCAATTGAACGTAGTTGTACCCTAGTTTGAAACAAATATTTATTCACAAGAGTTCCTGCAGTAAAAATTATTTTGCAACTAACAATAATTTATAAGCTAAAGAGAAAGTTGCAACATATTTCAGATATAACTTCATCTAGTTAGTAAATTTTTGAATAATGAAGATATAGTAATGAAATTACAAGTGGGTCAAGAGTAGATTTCACAATGTTCAACCATTCTGAATTGATAGAGCAGATTTGTTTAAAAAATCAAAGAATTGACAAAAAAATTGCTAAAAACTTATATTCTCTTTAAGGTATAAAGGACTCCAGAACAAAAAAACCTCTCTATCTAACATATTAGATCAACTAAGTCATCAAATTAAGAAAATATATTCTTTATAATTTCAAGTTAGTGGAACAGCAGATGCTGTTATATGAATGTTATATAGTCTTAGAGTTAAAATATCAAAATATCAAATTTTCGTGTAGGACGGTTAAAATTGCTTATGATGTGTAGCAAGTTGCAGCTAATGAATGAAAAAAAAACAAACAAAAAACGTGTTTTTCCATTCCCTTCTTTAAAATGCTGTCCTTTGGCTCTATATTGTTTAATTACCCTCTTAGGTGCAACTATCTTTAAAGTTACAAATATCTCTGATCCATGATTTCCAAGGATAACATTAAAGCAGATTAGAGGTAGTTTATTGGTGTTTCATCAGGGAGGTTTGACAGATATATGATTGAATGAAATTGTTGTGATCCCAGTTTTTTCAGCTGTTTTTCTTATGAAAACAGTCATTTATTTTGAGATGTAGCTGGAAGCTTATGAGCATTGATCAACTTTAATTATCTATTTATTATCTTCGTAATATTATGGAACTATTTGTTTGTAATTAAGCACAAAGCTACACAATGGGCTATCTGTGCTCTGCCCACCAACGGTATCAAAATCTGGATTCTAGCATTGTAAGTTCGCAGACATACCGCTGTGCCACTGGGGGGCATTATGGAACTGAAATATTCAAATAAAAATGGGAGGAGCTCAATGTTGAAATGCATGATTTTTACAATGTAAAACCCCAGTGAAGAATTTTGCTTATATTTGTAAATGCTTTTGGTGCTCTGCAATGCTGTTGAGGTTGGTGAGCTGCAATAGAACTTTGATGTGGCTGACTGAAGTACGTCTTCTGAACAATTTGACACTCAACAGGTGTCTGGTATATTTTCAATTGTCCTCTCCTCCCCCAGAGGCAAAGTTATAAGTCAGAGTACTTATAACACTAAAAAGTGGGTTTTGATACCTGTTAGGAAATAGCACAGATAGCCCATTGTGTAGCTTTGTGCTTAAATACAAACAAAAAAAAATTTTTCAATCTTATCTAGCTGTCTTTACACTGATACTAATTATTTGTAGTATATATAGTTCTGGACAGAGCAGTTCCAGTTCATTGATGTCTTTGGTAACCCTGGTTATCACAATGTTAATATGGCTGATGAAGTTAAGTTTGTGTGAGAGTCATCAGTGTTTCTTCTAGAGAGATAACACTGCTGCTACCAAGTATAGTGATGGTTTTTTCTCATCAGCATGTCTGTTGTTGAGCATGCAGAACATAGCTGTGGCTTTGGCAGGATTGAGATCATTTCTGTGTCATTGCATAATTAAAAACCCTTGTTGAGGGATGGTTGCATCTTACTTTCAATTTCAGCTTTGCTAGTGTCTCTGCTGTACACCATAATGCTATCAGCAAAGATTAGCACATGACATCTAGGTAAGTTATGATGGGGTTTCTTCAATTATTATGTGATGAGACTAGACTTTGATCTCTGTTGATGATATTTATATCTATATAAATATTGTGTAACATGTTCTTACATTAAAAATTCTTGCCACAGTGTTGTGTTTTTGTGTTTTGTGATATACTGAAGAGTGTATTACCAGTCAAGTATGTAGTATTTCAAGTTAGAAAAATCTGTTAGTCAGTTTTTTAATTCTTTGTATATTTTCATTTGATTTTGTCCTTGTTAGTTTCAAGTTATAATATTTATAGAAAAACCATTTCATATACATATGACACCATCTTTGTACTTTTAAAGATTGTATGTTTTAAATAAACAATTATGCCAAAAAAGTAGTTAGCATAGTACATGTAATATAACTAAAATTTGGGTATGAACTTCAGAGTAGTGCTGATATATACAGGGTGAGTCAACATTATGCATAAACACATTAAATAGCTAAGTTTTGTAGACAGCATGACCAATTTGAATGAAATGTACATTTTACAGCGAAAATTTACACTTAACTCTACAGAAAGATGTTAGCCTGACAGGGATTAGTGTGTGGATGGAACTCTCCTCACGTGGAATAATTGGACCTTACAGATTCAACGATACTGTTACTTGGCAGAGTAATCGTGAACTGGTAATGAATGATGCAGTTCCAACAGTATGAAACATAATTGAATATTTAGAGTTGTTTAAACATTTGTTTAACAACTAGTTAAAGCTTGGAATGGTCTATTATTTCATTGGGGTGTGTGTCTATGAGTCAGACTAGTTTTGGAGAATTCCACTCCTCATCAGTGACCCTGGACACTACCACCAATGAAATAACAGACCAAACCAAGCCTTCATACTAGTGAGGTATCGAAAATCAAACTGGTGTATTTACGTGTTTTACACTCACCAAAAAGAAATCTATTGTTACACCTCTGTGTTCATTTGTTAATTTTCCGTAAAAATTCTTTCCGAAGAAACTTTAGCGATACAAGTCCTTTCTTAAATAAAACTAGTTTATTCTTTCTCAATACAACTTTCCACAGTCACGCTATAACTCAAACAAACGCTATAATTCACAACGAACGATTCAAGCGCTTGACTCAATTGTCCATCTCTATCTCTGTCTGCAATTCAATTACATTGTTGCCATCACTTCTTACCGGTCTTATATATACAAGAATACCGCACATCTAGTAAACACTGAGGCATTCACGAACCTTCGAGAATATCATGACGTGTTACTAGCATCACGTGACTACCGCTGTCGTAACACTGCCCCATCCTCAGTATTGTTCG